TGTGGAAAATCTTGAAAAGAATGGGAATTTGAGAACCCTTCACTGTGTTCCCATGAAACCTATACTTGGACCAGGAAGCATTCATCAGAACAGAGGAAGGTAACAGTGCATGGTTAAAAATTAGGAAGGAAATGCATCAGGGATGCAGGCTGTCTCCATACATTTTCACTCTGTATGCGGGACAGATCATTCAGAAGGTTGGACTTTATGAGAAGTATGGCATCAGGATTGGAAAAAGACTCATCAAAAACCTGAAATGTACAGATGACACAACCTTACTTGCCATAACTGAGGAGGACCTGACATGTTTGCTGAAGAAGATCAAGGACTGTTGTCTTCAATATGGATCAAAGTTCAACATCAAGAACACACACACAAAAAAATCTCACATCTGTGCCAATGGACAGCACCATAATGGATGGAGAAGAGACTGAAGTTGTTAACAATTAGAGTTTGCTTGGCTGCAAAATCAACACTCTTGGCACCAGCAGTCAGGAAATCAAAAGATGAATTGCTCTGGGAAAGTCTACTGTCAGGGACTTCTCCAAAGTGCTAAAAAGCAATGATGTCAGTCTAAAGACTAATGTGCACCAGGCCATGGCCTTCACATGTGCTTGCTATGTATCAGCGAGATGGACAATGACCAAGGATAATAGAAGGAGAATTGATATCTGTGAGATTTGGTGCTAGAGAAGGGTATTAAACATACTATGGACTACCAAGAAAACAGTCTTGAAGAGGGTGAAATCAAGTTTCTTCTTGGAGGCTAGGATTTTGAAGATCTGTCTCATATACTTTGAGTATGTGGCTCAGAAGGACCAGTCCTTGAAGAAGGGCATCATGGAAGAGTGGAGGAACAGAACAGGAGAGAGAGACCCCAGATAAGGTGGATTGACACAGTAACTGGGGCAATGGGTCTAGTTGTCTCTGAGTCAGTGAGAGTGGCTCGGCATAGAGCAGGGTTCAGAGCTTTTTGTACATAGGAGTCACTATGAGTTACAATGACTCGATGGTAGTAACAATAACAACATGTAAGCACTATGGAGATTATGGCAGTGCTGTATACAAAGTAGAAGCTCAAAGGTGTTTGTTGTGAATACCGTAGCATTATTTAAGAATAATTGCTAGAATATAGCTAGAAATACACAAATAGAAGGAGATAACATTGATGAATTAAACCTGCTAAAGATTAGGTCCCTATGCACAGAAATTTTTTTTCAAATGAAATTAAAAGAAAACCTACTGATTGGGAAAAAACCCATTTGGCAATACCATCTAAGACAGGGCCTCATAAGAAAAGTTTACAGACAGTTATAGGACCTCTAAAAGAAAAGACTGACAATCCAATAATAATAAGATGGGCAAAAGACATAAAAGGACCTCTCACAGAGGATGACATTTGGATGGCCAACAGATGCTTGAAGAAATGCTCAAAGCCACTGGCAAGAAAAGAGATGTAAATCGAAACCAAAATGAGATCCTATCTCACCCCAGTAGTAGTGGCAAAGTTTAAAAGGACCGCATGGAATAACTGTTGGAGAAGATGTGGAAAGAATGAAGCTCTCATACACTCTTGGTGGATTGTGAAATGGTATAACCATTCTGGAAGACAATTTAGCATTTCCTAAAAAAGTTGAACATAGAAATTGCATATGACCCAGCTATTCCACTGCTTAGGAATACACCCCAAGGGAATTAGAACTGAAGTACAATGGAGATTTTTACACTGATGTTCACAGTGTACAAATGTAGTACAGCATTATTCACAATAACAAGAACATGGAAACATCCGAAATGTCCATCAACAAATGAATGGACTGAGAAATTGTGGTAGATTCACATGATGGAATATTTTACAGCACTCAGGAGCAATGATTTTGAAAAATGTTCCCTAATATGACTGAGACTGGAGAGCACTATGATGAGTGAACTCAGTATTATAAGGACAAATACGGCATAAAAATCATTAAAAATAGAACAATAACTAATAAGATATGTATGGAAGATCAAGGGGAGAGTGCTGGGGGGCTGAGGGTAGGGATGGGGAAAATCATGGTAGGTGGAAGCAGGGGTGAAGAAATTAGGAAAGATCTGGTGGGGACATGAGAGGACTGGGTAATAATGGTCGGCATAGATCAATGCTGACAAATTTTATAAAACACATTGTATGAGAATGTTCATGTGAAACACAATATGAATGAGGAATGTGTGAAAGGTAATACATACAAATTTTGTGTGCAAAGTAATATAACGTTTTTTTAAAAATAAAAATTTCTAGGTAATAGTATTATGATTCTTTGATGAATATACTTGAACAAATGTAAAAATAATTTTTGTTGTTAAAAATTGTCTTATCCCATTTTTATTATCCTACCACCCTTTATACATCCTCTTAGCAAATACATTTCCAAAGGTAGGTTGTTCTTATTGTTAGATGCTGTCAAACTGAGTACAACTCAGTGCCATTCTCATCATCTCTGAAATACTCAAGCCAATTGCTGAATCACCACATCAATCCATCTCATTGAGAGGCCTCCTCTCCTTTGCTCACCTCCCCTCATCCTCCATCTTTGCAAGCATGATGGTCTTCTCCAATGAATAGGCTTGCCTAGCTACATGTCCAAAGTATGAAAGTTAAAGCTTCACCGCCCTTGCCTCCAAGGAACACTCTAACTGCACCGTCTTCAAGATATATCTCTTTGTTCTCTTTACAGTCCATGGGATATTCAGTGCTCTTCTCCAGCACCACAACTCTAAAGCTTCAATTCTTCTTCTGTCATCTTTATTCTTTGTCCAGTTCTCTGACATATAGCAGGTGATTGAGAAGACCAAGGACTGAATTAGGTGTACCTTAGTCTTCAAACTGATGTCATTGCTCTTCAGCATTCTGGAGAAGTTCCTGACAGTGGACTTGCCCAGTACAATACATCTCCTGATTTCCTGATTGCTGGTACTAAGGATGTTGATTTTTGATCCAAGAGAAATGAAATAATTCACAGCTTCAATCCTTTCTCCATCTATCAGAAAGTTGACTGTTGGTCCTGTGGTGATGATCTTTGTTTTCTTTATGTTGAGATGGAATCCATACCAATGGCTGTAGTCCTTAACCTTATGCTGCAAGTGCCTTGAGTCTTCCTCACTTTCAGCAAGCAAGGTTGTGTCATCTGCTTAACAGGCTATTGATGAGTCTTCCTCCAATTCTGATGCCACATTCTTCCTCATAGAGTCCAGCTTCTTGAATTATTTGCTCAGCATTCAGATTGACCAGTCATGGAGAAAAGGTACAACCCTGATGCACTCCCTTCTTAATTTTAAACTCTGCAATGTTCTCTTGCTGTGTTCACACAATTGCCTCTTATCTAGGTATAGGTTTAGAACGCGCACAATTAAGTGATCTTGAATTCCCATTTTTCTCAATGTTAGCCATAATTTGTTATGATCCATAAAGTCAAATGCTTTTGCATAGTCAATAAAGCACAAATAGACGTTCTTTACCTATTCTTTACTTTCGGCCAGGATCCATCTGACATCAACAATGATATCTCTGCAGCAGAGGCCTCTTTTAAATCTTACTTGAACTTGTGGCAGTTCACTATCTATGTACTGTTCTAGACCTTTTTGAATATTCTTCAGCAGTATTTTGCTTGTATGTGCTATTAAGGATGTTGGTTGTTATGTGCTGTCAGGTTGCTTGCAACTCATAGCGACCCTTTGAGTCTGAACCCTGTTCTATCCTGAGCCAACATTACTGTCTCTGACACACCTACCCCGGTTACTCCAGTTATTGAGAATCTTCTCTTCTTGTGCTGTCCCTTCACCCTCCGGAGCATAAGAACCTCTTTAAGAACTGGCCCCTTCTTGCAACATGCTCAAAGAATGTCAGACGAAGCCTCAGAATCCTTGCCTCCAAGGAGTAGTCTGGTTTCACCCTCTCCTGGTCAAACCTGTTTGTTCTCTTAGCAGTCCATTGTATACTCAATACTCTTCTCCAGCACCACAGCTATTGTTTGGTAATTTCCACATTTTGTTGGATCCCTTTTTTTTTTTTTTTTTGAATGGGCATAAATAGGATCTCTTCCAGTCAGTCGGCCAGGTAGCCATCTTCCAAATTTCCCGGCATACACTAGTGAGCAGCTTATATATCCTTCGGATCTTTTAAACCCTAAAGTCGCGTCTTTAAATTGTGGTCATCAAAAATTATTTGACACTAAATTAATAGATTATAAATGGGAAAGAGAAGGAAAAAAATTATTGAGCCTTCAGTGAGCAAACACATTTGTTTTGGAAGAATTGCAGCCAGAGTGCTGCTTAGAGGTGAGGCTTCCATATTTTGCGAATTTTATCAAAAGAGAACAGTCCTTGAAAGGGGGGATTCCATGCTTGGAAAAGTGGAGGGTATGAGAGGAAGACCATCAGAGAGGAAACTGAAGCTGTTAACAATCCCCATCTCTTCACCTCCTATCATGATGCTGCCAGTTGCCTCAGTGATGAGAATCTTCGTTTTCTTGATGTTGATTTTCTAGGGGAGGCTATTCCTTAAAGAGGGACATATGCATCAAGGGTGTCGGAGATTGTGAGGGTGGCACGTATAGGACAAGTTTCCTATGTGTAGTTCATAGGGTCGCTATGAGTCGTACTTGACTGGATGGCACCTAATAATAACCACCAGCTCTGGTCTAGGCAAAGAAGCCGGTACATCGGTGCAGGCAAATGGCTGCTGTTATAAGTGTGCCGTCGAGTTGGAACAGACCCATAGCTAAATCTCCAGCGGGTTTTCAGAGGCAGTAAATTGCACAAGGGTAGCCTGCTCACTAGGCTTTTTAAAATTCTAGAAATGCAGCAAAGCTACACTATATTCTTTAGCACCACCCCCGAGTCCTTTCATTGGGTGACTCTGCCCCTCGCTGGCCAATGGCAGGGCAGTGGGCGGGCTCCCGGAAGTACCGGCGCAGTTAGAGAAGGGTTTAGAGGCAGCGGTTGAGGGGGTCCTGGAGATTGGCTGACGCCATGAGTTCCTTCGGGGGTCAAATGGTCGAGTACCCAACCATCTCCATAGACCGCTTTGACAGAGAGAACCTGAAGGCTCGTGCTTACTTTCTGTCCCACTGCCACAAGGGTGAGTGAGTGCTGCGTACAGACCCCTCCCGGGGAAGCCGAGGGCTGCTAGTGCTTGGACCCCGCGGGGAAATCGCACCTACGGGCTGGGAAGAGGAGGAAAGGCGGGTGCGGGGCCTTGGTGTGAAGGTGCTGGTATGAGAACCTCAGGGAGGATAATCATTTTGTCTCCTCTGGCTTTTCATCTTCTCTTTGGCTTTATTTCCTGTTCTGTGAAACAGGACACAACCACTATTGGGCCCATTTGCTCGAAAGCAACTGTAAGGTTCTTTGTTAATCATCGTAGCAGTCAAAGGTAGTACCTGGCTGTGGCAAATTTCCAACCTTTTGCGATTGCTAACGAAAGGTGGTTTTCTTCCAATAAAAGTTTGGAAGTTTGAGTACATCCAAAGGTGCTTGCGGAGAAAAAAAAGGCCATATCTACTTCCAAAACTTGGACCAGCAGTGTTCATTTTGACACACTTTGGGTTACCATGACTTAAAATCGCCTCGCTGGCAACTGCTTTGGGGTTCCCAACGACCCGAAAACTCAGGAAACACAAACCTGCTACCTTTAAACCAGCTTTTGACTCATGGTGACCCTACATTGTGTTTCTGAGGGATGCTGTAAATCTTTACCAGAGGAGACTGTCTCATCTTTTTTTTTTTTTTTTTCTGAATAGCAGTTGTTGAAATAAAACCATCAGCCTTTTGGGTAGCAATTTATTACATAACACACCAGGCTCACTATTTGCTGTAGAATCAGAACTGATTCAGAGCTGACTCACCATTGGGTTTCCAAGGCTGTAAGTTGCACAGAAGGATATTAGTGGGGTGTGTGTTTGTTTGCCAAGGAGCCATAGGTGGATTAAAACCAGCAGAGGACCTTTGGGTTAGCAGCATAACGCCTTATAGGCTTGGAAACCAGAATTCACATGTTCTAGGAGGGACTAATCTTGGTGGAAAGACATAGCTGGTAAAGTAAAAGGTCAGTAAAAAATTGGAGGATCTTTAACAAAATGCACTGGCAGAGAGGCCGCAGTAAGAGGCTTAGGCACAGCAGTTGTGAGGATGGTGCTGGTCTTTCTATTGTACATAGGGTTGCTATGAATTAGAACTGACCCCTCATGGCACCAGACACCAATGATACAGGCTCAAAGGCTTACTAGATGCTCCATATGAGGTTTGTTGTACCGTTGAGTTAGAACCAATTCATAGCAGATCCTCCAGTGGGTTTTCAGAGGAAGGAGATAACTCATCTTTCTCCCTTGAGGGAGGCAGTAGATTCGAACTGCCTGTTTTTGGGTTGACAGTGCAACTCCTTACCCATTAGACCAACTCCTGGGTGAGGCGTGTAAATCACACAAGAGGAAATTACCCATCTTTCTCCCAAGGAATGACAGGTGGTTTTAAACCAGCAGAGAGTTTTTGGGTTAGTAGCACAATTCTTTATGGATGTGGCTACCAGAGTTCACGGAATTCCCATGTGAGCAGTGTCTCCAAAATACTTTAGCCAGCTCCGAGAGTTTGAATACCACTAGGGAGTTGCGCTGCTAACTCAAAGTCTGAGCCTCTCTGACGGTTTGTATCCATCCATCAGTGGCTCTAGGGGAGAAAGATGCATAGTCTCCTTTCATGTGATTTACAGCTTTAAAAACCCAATCTCAATTGTGAGTAATTTCCAACTGATGGCAAATGATTAGTAGGTAAATCTCACAAACATTGCCTGTTTTGAAAACATAATATTCCTACTGATAAATCACTTATTATACTAGTGAAGACTGGTATTCATTATGCTGGTCAGCACACTCTTTGGCATTTTTTATAAACAAAGAGTGTATAAGGAGCAGAAAGAATCTGCGTTATGCAGATGACACAACCCTGCTTGCTGAAACTGAGGAAGACCTGAAGCACTTGCTGCAGAGGGTTAAAGACTACAGCTTTCAATATGGATTGAGGCTTAATGTGAAGAAGACAAAGATTCTCTCCACTGGACCAATTGGCAGCATCAGGATGGATGGTGGAGAGATTGAGATTGTTCACAGCTTTAGTTTACTTGGCTCCACAGTCTTGGCACCAGCAGCCAGGAAATTAAAAGACGTATTGCAGTGGGAAAGTATGCTATTATGGACCTCTCCAAAGTACTGAAGAGCAGTGGTGTCTCTCTGGAGACTAAGGTACGTCTGGATACAGGCTTTTGCAATCACTTGTTATACGCCAGAGAGTTGGACAATGACTAGGGAGAATAGGAGGAGAATTGATGCCTTTGAGCTGTGGTGCTGGAGAACAGTATTGAGTGTATCATGGACTGCTAAGAAAACAAACAGATGAAACCTTGAGAGGGTTAAACCGGGCTGCTCCTTGGAGGCAAGGATTCTGAGGCTTCGTCTGACATACTTTGGACATGTTGTAAGGAGGGACAGGTCTTTGGAGAAGGACATCATGCTTGGGAGCGTGGAGGGACAGCGCAGGAAGGGAAGACATCGATGAGGTGGATTGATTCAGTGACTGGGATAATTGGGATGGGAGTGTCGGAAACAGTGCGATTGGCACAGGATAGAGCAGGGTTTAGGGCTGTTGTACATAGGGTCACTATGAGTTGCAAGCGACTCTACAGCACATAACAACAACAACAACAACAACAACAACAACAACAACAACAACAACATAAGGAGCAGAAGCAATATGAGGGTTGGCCGAGTTCTGATTTCCACCTACTTTATAAAGGGGAACCGTCTCCATCAATAATACCCCTGTTGTTATGTGCTCTCAAGTCTCATGTGACTCATAGAGACCCTATGTACAATAGCTTTGAACCCTGCCCTATTTTGAGACAATATCATTGTTTCTGACACACCTACTCCTTTTACCCCTGTTACTGTATCAATCCATCTCATCCAAGGTATTCCCCTCTTGCACTGTCTCTCCACCCTTCCAAACATGATGTCCTTCTTCAAGGACTTGTCCCTCGTAGTAACATATCCAAAGTATATAAGCTTCAAAAATCCTTGCCTCCTAGGAGCAACTTGGTTTCACCCTCTCTAGGACAAACCTGTTCTCTTGGCAGTCCATCTACGTTCAGTACTCTTCTTCAGAACCATAACTCCTAGGCATCAATTCTACTTCTGTCATCCTTAGTCATTGTCCAGCTCTCTGATGAATAACAAATAATTATTAAGACTATGACATGGATCAGGTGCATCTTAGTGTCCAGGCTGACATTATTGCTCTTTAGCACCCTAGAGAGGTTCCTGACAGCAGACTTTCCTAAGCAATTTATCTTTTGATTTCCTGACTGCTGGTGCCAAGAGTGTTCATTGTGGAACCAAGCAAGCAGAAATTGTTAATAATCTCAATATCTTCTCTGTCTGTCTTTGTTTTCTTGATGTTGAACTTCTATATTGAAGATTGCAGTTCTTGATCTTCTGTAGCAGCAAATGCTTCAGGTTGTCCTCAGTTTCAGCAAGCAAGGCTGTGCCAATCTGGATAACGCAGGCTGTTGATGAATCAGTCTTCCTCCAGTCCTGATGTCACATAATCTTTGTAGCACCATACACATAGCTACATCATCAGACATACCATCCCCCATGCTCCTGTGTGTATTTCTACCAATCATTGGGCCCAGTGTTCATTGCAAATTGGGTCATAGACTTTACTCACAGTTGTGGGGTTTATTAGGGAGCTAGAGAGAGGAGGCAAAGAATATCACCCAATGCAAGTCCAGGTTTAGTCCAGCTATCCCAGGCCAGATTAACAAGACAGAATTCCTCAATTAGTGAAGTTCAGATTCAGTTAAGTAGCACAAATGTAAAAAGCCTCTGGTTTCCTCAGTCATCCAACAAACCTTATCTCAAAGCAGTTTCAAGTCAGCACTTACTTTAATCATCTGGCAAGCAAAACCCTTAACTGTGGCTCCATCTCCAGATTTTTTATGGTTACATCTTGCAACAGTCTTTTCACAGCAGTGCTATAGTCTCTTTAGACTCTCTCCACCACAGTTATCTCCTTTATCTTCACAGTCCCTCCACTACTGTCTTTCAGTGTTGAAAGCATTCTCTTATATTGGTCCCATGTCTGTTGATCATTTACAAGACCGTGCGTCTGTAGTTAAGGTAGCAGGAACCATGTCCCTCAAGGAGGGGCAACACAATTGTTATAAAAGCCAGTTTTCAAAGATTCTAACACTATAGAGAGAAACTGAGACCTTGATTGGCTACCTGGAAGCAAGGCCTTCCAGAGGAGTTTGAGAAGGAGCAACTACCACTTTGGGATGTGCATTACTGAAAGGTACTTCTGATGGTACCTGATGTAACAAACTCATACATCAGTATTGTTGTTATGTGCTGTCGAGTCGCTTGTGACTCATAGAAGCATAGAGTCATTATACCAAAAAAGACTTGATTGATTAATACGGAATCATTTTAGGAAATAGCATATGACCAAAATCCAATGGTAATAAAGGAGTTCAAGCTGCAACTGAAGGTACTGATTAAAAAAAAAAGGCCCCAGAAATCAACGGGAAACCAGTTGACAAGTTTCAACTAACAGTTGCAGCTTGCTTGGATGTGCTCACCAGTCTGTTCCAGGAAATTTAGAAGACATCTGGCTAACTGACTGGAAAAGATCTGTTTGTTCCCATTCCCCAAAAGAGGTGATTAAGAGAAGGTACATACTATTGAACAATATCACTAATATCATGCACAAATAAAATCTTACTGAAGATTATCTAAAAACACTAGAATAGTACATGGACACAGAACTGCCAGCAATTCAATCTGGATTAATTAGAGGCCATGGCCAAGGGATATCATTGCTGATGTCAGATAGATCTTGGCTGAAAACAGAGAATACCCAAAAGATGTCTATTTGTGTTTTATTGTCTATGCAAAGACATTTGACTGTATGGATCATGACAAATTATGGCTAACATTGAGAAGAATGGGAATTCCAAAACACTTACTTATGCTCATGGGAAACTTATACCTGTACCAACAGAGCAAGGGAACACTGCATGGTTTAAAA